CAAATGGAGATTCTTTAGAAATGCAAGATTGGTTTAATATTAGAAAATTAATCAATGTAATCCACTACATTATCACAATAAAGAAGAAAAATCATATGATCATATCAATCAATGCAAAAAATGTTGACCAAATTCATTCATAATAAAAAAAATCTTACAGAAAAATAGAAATAGAGGGGAACTTCCTCAGCTTGATAAAGAGTATCTACAAAATCCAACCGCTGACCTAACATTGAATGATGACACACGGAATGCTTTTCCCCTAATGTCAGACATGGACTTGCACTGGGCAGAAGATCCTTGTAATAGCCTGTGCGGTTCCTCTGCCTTTAACACCTTCCGTCCCTGCATTTGCTGAGCTGAGGCTGTTTCAAGACAGCTCATGGATACCTCCTCCAAGGAACTGTCCAGAGCACACTGCTCAGGTCCCCCGACCCCCTGTCTGATGAGGGATCCTCCCTGTATGCAGTGTGATAGGCCTTTATGTATTCACTGCCATAGCCCTTCACACTCTGTTGTATCATCACTTTTTATCTGTCTCCCCACTTTCAGCAACTGTTTTTACAATTGTTCCCTTCCTAATTCCTTGTTCATTTAGCCCCTGAATTTTAGGGAACTTCCAAAAGTAGTAGTAACTCCCTTTTTCTATAATTATAATTAAGCCTAATTATACTTTTTAAATAGGAAATGAGGGAAGAAATTTCAGACGCTGAGAGTTTCTGAAACAGAACAAAATGTGATGATTATGCTACACCTTTAGTCCATGTAGAACAGTATTACAAAACACTGAAATGGTCTAATATGGGTTTTGAATGCACTAGGCCTATGATACTTCTCTGCTTTTCTTTCTGAATTATTATTTTTTTGTATGTCCAAATAGTTCCAGACTCTGACCAACGTTTGGGGGCAGACACAGAGATTTTGCCAGCCTTCCCACTCCAGGCCCTTGCTTCTGGGATGTCTGGTTCTTTTTATAAATGCTATCGAGGGAGGTACAATTGTAATTCAGTCATAATTCCATTACCTCATTCAGGTAGGCCTCATGGGCAGGCTGTCTTTTTCTTTCACAGCAAGCTGCCGTACTGTGGGAACACAATTCTTCACAGAATTTTTGCAACGATGCATGTTCCATTTTTGCACTAATATAAAGTATATCTTGTGCCCCCTCCAAATCCTATTAGCATTTTTATTGATATTATGAGCTTTATGGATTAACTTAGGGAGAATTGGCCGATTGGTGGTATTGGGTTATGCTATCCACTGGAATATTAGTTTCTAGATGGGAGGGTTTTTCTCTGTTTTGTACAGTGCTGTGTCTCCAAACCCTAGAACAGTGCCTGGTACATAGTAGGTGCTGAGTTTTTATTGAATGAAGGAATGGATGCCTTTCCATTTGTTCTGATCTTACAGCCCTCAGAAGTGTTTTAAATTTTTCCTTCACATTTTTCATTAAATTTTTTCTTAGAGGTTTAATTTTTCGGCTATTGTAAATGTTATTTTTTTCTTCAATGATAACTTCTAATAGGCTGTCGTTAGTTTATGTAAGGGTTATGGTTTTTTGTATATTAATTTTGTTACCATCTATGTTACTAAATTTTCTGATTTGTTTCACTGCAGAGCTTGATTTAGTAAGCCTTGATATGTAAGTGAACTCATGCGAATGAATGCATCTGTCTTCATTTCTCTTTGCCATTAGATCATTATGCAAACATTAAACACCAAGAAAGACATGAAATGATTGATTAATCTAGTGGAGAGTGCAAGATAGCTCTCAGCAAACTCCAGAAGCATGTTCCTTCCTCTCCAGACTGCTTCTTTTCTCCTACCCCTTCAGACATTCCCATGAAATATGTAGTCAATCCTTCAGGGACTAGAGATACTTATTGGCAGTTAACATTCTTGTGATCCAGCGCATTTTCTTGCAGCAATATTCTATCTTTCCTCCTGAGTTTTGCCTAATTTAGATTCTGCCTTTGGTCTGTTCCACTTAGCTAATCCTGATCGATAAGTACAGACAGATTAGACAGAAGACAACATGTGGCACAAATATCGCATTTGGAACAGCAAGCCTTCAGTTTACATTGTTGGCAGGACTGACTCCTCCATGCTCCCTTCCCCCACAGCCCACACTGTGGCATGCGGGTCGGTTCCTGAACCATTTGCCTCTGTGATTAGGCTATAAGCACCTGAGACTTTTTCCATCTTTCCGTTTTATTGTCTGGCTCACGGTAGGCACTCAATAAATGCTTGAATCAATGAATGCACAAATTGCTCAATTAACTAGGGCATGAATATTTTCTGTCTTTTATGGTATTAAAATTAGCCCTGGGGAAAAGATTTGAAATATTTTTAAACAAGAAGGTAGTTGACTCTGACTAATTTAAAAAGTAGCTCATCCCTCAGTGGTTGGAGCGTTGGCCTGCAGACTGAAGGGTCCCTGGTTCGATTCTGGTCAAAAGCGTGTACCTCAGTTTCAGGCTCTATCCCTGGCCCTGGTCAGGGAGCGGGAGGCAACCAATCAATGTGTCTCTGTCACATGGATGTTCCTCTCTCTGTCTTTCCCCCTCTCTTCCACTCTCTCTAAAAATCAATGCAAAAAATATCTTCAGGTGAGGATTAACCAAAAAAAAAAAAAAGGAGCCCAGATGGATTTGTATTGTAACAGAGACCAAATTAAACTACAGAAATTGAGCTCTTCTAGATTTTCAAGGTTCAACCAGAAGCCTTGGAAGGACCTGGGTTCCTTGTGAAGAAAACTGTATGGTCCACACCCCAGGACACTGCGCCTTAGTGTGAGCATCTCATTCATGCAGGAAGCTCATTCTTGAAAACCTGAATAGGAATAAAGTCTTGTGAATTGAAACTGACTTCTCTCTTGCCAGGTAGTACTATTTTATAGTTGCTTCTTTGTGCATTTCTGACTGACCTTTAAGATGGACCCTTAAAAAACTATGCTTCCAACTCTTCAAGTTAAAATGTATAATCAAATGTTTAAATGTACAGGTTTAAAGAAAATGCAGAGAATTCTTTTGTTGGGAAAAATTGTTGAGCGCATTGCATCCCTGTAGTGTGGATAGTCATCATCTGTTATGTACTTTATTATTAAATTATTTTAATTATTCACTTTATTTTTTTAAAGTAGTTTATACCTGGTTTTCTGCCAGGAAGGATTTGGAGGGGGAGTTGTTTGTTTAACTGATCTCTGCAAATATCAGTTGGGCCTATGTATGTTTTTATTGGTGTGTAGGGGGTTGTTTTATTGCATTTTAAGGTGAAATGTACACAGTGGTGGACTTTTGTTACAAGTGCTTCTGCTAAATGATTTAAAAGGCTCTGTGCTTTTTGTATACTTGACAAGAATTTTGATTCCTGAATTTCAGCCATTGTGTGATCTCACATAAAATGTAGTTAATGAAGCTGACATCACTCATACCCATAAACTCTTCCTTGGCTTCTACTTTAACGGGCAGCCACAGCTCACGAATGCACTGTCATGAATCACCCATGAAGAAGTGCGCTGGGTGCCAAGGTCACAGGACCTGGCAATCTCAAAAGCCGTGTCTGGAATGACGTTCTGGGCGTCACAGAGGAAGTTGTGCCCTGTCCCTGCCCCCCACTCGCCTGCTTTCCCTTGGTGCTCTGTTTTTCTTAACAGATAAGAGATTATTTCCTTCCCCAACATGAGTTGACATTTTTCACCTGTAGGTGGGATAGTATATCAGCAACAACAATTTAAAAACCTTTATGATAAGGATTCATTTACGTTTTTAAAACAATTACCTCTGTTATGTAATTAAGAATGGGGCAGAGGTGTGCAAATAATATTTTTGGCTTTCGGACTTTGAAAAAGAAAGTCTGTTCTTGCATTTTAAGTAATGCCTTTGATGTCCCAGAATTTCATAACCCCTGAAATTCATAACCTGGTCCAGAAAGATTTGGAAAACTGTCCATTTTCCCCATCCTTACCCAAAAATGTGCATGCAAAGGGGGCATAAAATCACAGAGAATTTTAAAGCAGTGTTTATCGTAATTAGCCTCTGGACTTAATCCTGCATGCTGACTCTACTCATTTTCTTTCAGAAAGGAAGGGTAGTCTTCAAGTTTTCTTACCTTCGGTTGTGGCTAAAATCAAAAGATTTGGGTTCTCTCTTAGTGTAAAGACATTATCCCCACAGGATCTGTAAGATTTTACATTTTTATGTATAGAGAATGAGGACTTTGCAGCAATTACCCAGGTTTCTGAGGGCCAAACCTGCTTTACCATATCGTGACATACTCTGTAAGAAGTGATGAGTTGCTACATGAGGCCATTGTACTTTGTTTTCTGAACGACAGGAAGAAAGAAAAAAAAAGTAAAGCTCAAACAGGTAGAAAGCTCATTTCTATTGCTTGAGTCCTCGTCTTCTTAGCTGAAATGTAACATGAACTTGGACTCTGTGGCTATACTGTATGCATCTGCATCATTATTTTTAAATGGCCTAGCCCAGTGATCTGCAAACTGCGGCCCCTTGAGTGTGGCTCTTCCACAAAATACCACGTGCAGGCGCGCACGTACAGTGCGATTGAAACTTCGTGGCCACACTCAAGGGGCCAAAGAGCCACATGTGGCTCGTGAGCTGCAGTTTGCCGACCGCTGGCCCAGCCCCTTCTTTTACAGCTCTCATTTCCCTTTAGAGTTACAAGGAGAGAAATCAGAGAAAGCCACTTGAGAATGGCAGAAAGCAAAGGGCGAAGCGTATCATTTGTACATAAGCCGTATCGGACTATTTATTGTGAACCTAGAGTGAGCTGTCCCACTGGTACCCATTTTAATAACAATGGAATATCTGCATGCAATCTCTATGAGGCACTCTGAGAATTGCAATGAAAAGAGGCCACAGATCTTTGCACATAAAAAAAAACGTGGAAAGAGTTCCTGGCGAGGCGTCCGTTCCTCACACACAAAACACCTTGTGTTTCTAATCTCATTTCATAAGGCAAATGCTTTTCTTTTTCAACAGAGGAATTCAAGGGCTCCACCTTCGTGGAGCTGATGAAGAAGGAAGGCACCACCCTGGGACTGACCGTGTCGGGCGGAGTGGATAAGGACGGCAAGCCGAGAGTCTCTAACCTGCGGCAAGGAGGCATTGCAGCCAGGTAACCTCATCCCGGGAGGTGTGGGCAAAGGGACACGGGGTGAAATTAACTCAAACACTAAAGCTCCCCCAGAGAAGGTCACCGATTAATGAACGACAGCTGCCCTGCGCGGGGCGGAGGCGCGCCGGGGCGTGGTTCAGGGTGTGGTTTGTTTGGCCTGTGCCCAAGTCACCCAGGAGGTCATCTCAGGAGCAGCCAGGCCCTCGTGAGATTTTAATGTTAAAACCCCTGTATGGCTGCAGTCCCCAAATGTGCCACGGAGCACAGATGGGCTGCGGTGGGGATGAGACCCTTTGATCATGTACCTGGGGCACAGATGATCCAGAGAGGGCACGGCCAGGCCCGACTCTGAGCTTCTGTGGGACAGTTTTGCGGGTCTGGCATCTTCTCCACTTTTCTACTTGTGGGATCTCCCTTCTCCTCAGACACAGAGGTGATCTTCAAAAGGACAGCAGGCTTAGGTGAGGAGGTCTCATGTTGTGCTTGTTCCCGGTGAGCTGCAAATTGTGCGAGTTATTGCCAAAGGCAGCCTGTCCTGGACGCTGGGCAGGAGTGGGCTTGCTTTGTAGACAGATTCAAAAATCCGCCTCCGGAAGAGGGGATGGGATGGTCAGGTTCCGTTCAAAGTGAGGTTCATGTACCTTAAATCCTGGACACCAGTGCTTTTGTCCACATAATCGCCAATTAGGTTTTAGAGTGCTTGCTTTATAAAGTGTCATTTGAAATAGTGATTACTCCAGTTGGTGAACCTGTGTGTACAATTAATTTATAAGCTTAGTCCAATTGATTGCTCCATGATCCGAGGTACTGTTTGTAAAACAGGCCGGTGTCCACACAAGCATCCTGATTTCCTTTCTTCAGGCTTTTAAGAGATGTCTTTCCACACCCGCAGCCTCCTCTTTTGTAACAGTCATGGCCAGTCCGTGATGCTCGGGCTGTGTATGTCTCCGGAGCTTCATGTGAGAACAGTGGGAGGGTGGGGGTGGGGGAATGCCATTGGCAGTTGTATTGATGCTGTAATTACTAGTAGTGCTGTGCTGGTTGTATTATTATCAATCACCAAACATTCACTGTTTAAGGCACCTACATTTTATAGGTAGTAAACCAAACTAATTTAGGATAAGGTCTCTGCCCTAAGGGGACTTATAATCTATTAGAGGAGATATGGAATAGAAAACATGAAAAGTTCAATAATAATAACATCGAATAATAGTGAAAAGCGACAACAGGAGTTGTCACAGAGCAGTCGGCGGTTAAGTTGCCCAGTGAGTGTCAGTAAACCCGAGGTAACGGTGGCAGCATTCCCGGCAGGCTGCAGCAGATTAGGGAGGCTCGCTGAAAAAGGAATGATTGGAGCTGAACTTATATAAAATAAATGAATTAGGTATTTCTATTTGGAGAGAAAATATTATTGAAGGTCCTAATTTTAAGTCCTATCATTCGTCTCGCTGCTTGCTCTTGGCTTACAAGTAGAGTTTGACTAAAAGCCCACAAGTAACCCGGGTTCTATTATGGTGGTAAAAAGAAACAAGAATGTTACTGAAATGTAGTATTTTTGTTATAATTTCTCCTTCACCAATACTCTTCTTTGTTACTCACGTTGTAAGCAGTAAATAGCAAAACAAGCTGATGCTTTCCTTAACAAATTCCCAGCGAAGATACTGAAAGCTGTGACATGTCCAAAAGACAGGTGGCAAAATGGGGAAGAATGTGAAGAAAGGAAAAAACCTGGTGTGTCCAGGATCTGGATAATTTACCCCCCTGCACCCCCAGATAGCCAATCCTTTATGGCCAGAGTAACTAAAAAAAATATTCTGTATTTTGTTTCATGATTCTCTCTAAAAATAGAAGAGGCAAAGGGTTGGGGGAAAAATCAGAGACAGCCACAGATCCAGAGCAAGACTTCTAAAGGCTAAGAGTCAGCATGAGTAAGAGGGGTCCGTGGACTCTCGCATCCACCTGGCTGTATTCCCACTCCCAGGACCAGCCATAGCCCAGGAGGCCGGGACTGCTGCTCCGTGGGCCTTGCATGATAATCATGAAGGGAACGTGGAAATGCAGTTGGACAGGCCTGTGGAGAGGATGGGTCCACTGAGGCAACATCCCCTATTTTGCAGAAGTGACCAGCTGGATGTGGGTGACTACATCAAAGCCGTGAATGGGATCAACCTGGCCAAGTTCCGCCATGACGAGATCATCAGTTTGCTGAAGAACGTGGGGGAGAGAGTGGTTCTTGAAGTCGAGTATGAGCTGCCACCAGTCTGTAAGTAATTGTCACCCAAGGCAGAACGGCCGCACCACGTTTTTGCCTAAAAGGTTGTTTCTTATTTTCTTCCTTTTTGCCGTCATTGTCTCATTACTGGGATGGCAGAGCATAGTTTCTTGATATTTAAAAATTATTTGAGCCCTAGTTGGTTTGGCTCAGTGGATAGAGTGTCGGCCTGGGGAATGATGGGTCCCGGGTTCGATTCGAGTCAAGGGCACATATCTGGTTGCAGGCTCCCAGCCCTGGTGGGGGGCATGCGGGAGGCAACCAATTGATGTGTCTCTCTCACATCGGTGTTTCTGTCTCTCCCTCTCATTTCCACGATCTCTAAAAATCAATGGAAAAAATATCCTCAGGTGAGGATTAAAAATAATAGTAATTATTTGAATTGATAAGCTTATAACCTGCTCAGGAAGAATTGAAAAGAGTGTAGATATCAATGAAATTATATAGAACTTGCTTTCTATTAAGGTGACCTGTGAACATTCTATTAAGGTGATCTGTGAACAAAATACCACGTGCGGGCGCGCACATACAGTGCGATTGAAACTTCGTGGTCCATGCGCAGAAGTCGGTATTTTGTGGAAGAGCCACACTCAAGGGGCCAAAGAACCGCATGTGGCTCGTGAGCGGTTTGCCGAGCCGCAGTTTGCCGACCACTAACTTAGAACAATAAACATTTTTTGGTAAATAATAAATACACAAATTAATCAATACTCAAGATAGGCATTATTATCATTATTATTCTCATTCTACAGAGGCTTAAGTTAATATCTTTCCCAAATGAGTAAGCAGCAAAGTCAGTATCTGAACTCAGGCTCCCTCACTCCAAAGTCCATATGCTTCTTCAGTGTGAGGTATACCTTACGCTATGTATTACTGCTGCCCTACCTTTAAGCTGTGCTATTCTACAACCACCTCTCCTTCTATTAAGCTATTAACAGGGATGCTATTCTGAGAAAATTCTTTGCTTTTCTGTCCTGGTGAGAACTTAGACTGAATATTAATACTCAATTACAATGTATTTGTTCAGCAATAATTTATTGATCATTTATTAAGTTCTAGCCACCACTATGTACATTGGTGGAGTTTACATTCTAATGGGAAGACAGACAAGAAGATAAAACCACAATAAATAAGTTAATTATATAGCATGAATGCCGTGGGAAAAAGAAAGAGCAAGGAGAGGGGTCGGAGTGCTGGCGTGGGATTGAAATTAAATAAGATAGTTAGGAACAGCTTCTCTGGGAAACTGACATTAGTCAGTGACTGAAGGAGGTGAGAAAGTTGGCTGTGTGGATTTCAGGGCGAAGAGAATTGCAGAAAGATGGAACAGCCAGTGCTAAGATCCAACAGCAGGAATATATCTGAAGTTGTTCTAGAAACATTAGGAAGGGCAGTGTGGCTATAGCAGAGTGAGCATGAAGAGAAGTAGGAGAGGAGGTCAGAATGTAAAGGATGAGGTACTATTGTAGACCATTGGACAGACCTTAAATTTTGCTCTGAATGATATGGGGCAGAGGAGTGACATGACCTGGTTTGTATTTCCAAAGGCTCCCTCTGGCCGCTGTGTGAGAATAGACGGCCATGGCAAAGGTAGAAGCTAAGTCACCAGTTGGGGGGCTATAACAGTGATCCAGGTGAGAGGTGGTGGTGGAGAAACACCATCACATTCCTTTTTTTATGTTTTTATTGATTTTTAGAGATAAAGGAAGGGAGAGGCTTAAGAGAAACATCAATGTGAGAGCAAAACATCAATTGGCTGCCTCCTGCATGCACCCAACAGGGGACCGAACCCACAACCTGGGCCTGGGCCCTGACTGGGAATTGAACCAGTCACCTTTTGGTGCATGGTCTGACACTCAACCAGCTGAGCCACATCGGCCAGGGCCCATCACATCAGGATCTTCTGACAGATTTGACGTGGGTTGCACAGAAATAGAGGAGTCAAGGGCCATCCCAGACATTGAGCCTGAGCAACCGGAGGATGGAGTTGCCATGAATGAGGTGGCTAAGAAGGTGGGCAGAGTTGATTTGCGAGGGAAAGACCAGAAGTTCATTGCTTAAAATGCTGCAGTTGAGGTGCCTATTTGACATGCAAAGAAGAAATGTCAAGAGCTGGAGGTCTGGCTTGGAGTTTGGGAGAAAGATCTGGGCTGGAATTGTAAATTTAAGGTTAATGGGAATATAGGTGGTGGTTGTAGCTTTGGGAACAGATGACAGCACTCGGGGAGTGAGTATACATAACCAATCACCAGTTCTTGTACTTAATATAAAAATTAACACCAAAAACTTAACAGTGATTTTATAACAAAATCAATAGAAGTCTGTGTTCAGAACTCTTGCCAACATTTTTCATTTTCAGCAAGGGAAGGCAATGAAATCCAGTGTAGAGAGCTTGGACTGTGTCACTGCTTAAGTGTCAGTTTTGCCCCTTTCTAGCTTTGTGACCTTGGACATGCTATTTAAACTCTCTGAGCCTTGGGTTTTTTATCTACAAAGTGGCTATAATAGATGTAAAATTTTTCTAAGAATTCAAGGCTATAATCTCATAAAGATCATTACCAGGTATTCAATAAGCCATAGTACATTAGTGATTATTGCCATTTTTATTATTATTACAGTGAAAGTACTATGTTTTCTTGAACTTTAAAAGAGTCTGTTTGCTTTGAAATTGCTACTTCAAACCAATGCCAAGGAGTTAAGAGAAGCCAGATATCTAGAGCTAATGCTCTTTGACTTAGCATTTTTACTCCACTGGGGATATGAAAATCAATAAAACACAATCTCTCCTAAAAGGAACTCTTAGGATAGCTTTCCAGGGCTAGGGACAGTAGAGGAGATTTGCCAAGTTTATGGAGATTTGCCAAGTCCAGTTGGAAGAGGAACTTTCTAGGCAGAGCATAATGCAAGGAGGTCAGAACACAGCCCAGTGCATGGTTTGAACTACACACAGATTGGAGTTGCTGGAGCCCACAGAGAAAAACAGAGAGGCCTGGAGGGCTGAGAGGACTGAGGCCAGCAACAGCAACAGGAATGAAACAATGGGGGTTATGTGAGCCATGGGGGTGGATCTTGGATGGCATCAAGTAGGCAATGAAGCACCTTTAAAATCTTATAAAGCCAAGGAATGGCATCTCCAGATCTGAGTTTTAGAGTTATTTTAAAAACCCAAATGGAGAATATATCAGAAGCTATAAGCCGAAGGCTGTTACAGTTTTCCAAAAGAGAGGTGATATCCTGAATAAATATAGCATCCATAGAGTTAAAGGGGAGAGGGTGGGTATCAGATGTATCAGGGGTTAAAACCTATCATTACTTGGTGATTATACCAGCATTTCCTTCTGCATGCAATAAATCTGATGGGAAATGGGGAAAATTATTTTTAAACACAAAAGTGTGAATTTTAGAGTAGATAGATAGGAGAGGTCTGTTCTCCAAGGATTATCTCTGTCATTTTCTATTATGTTTGGATAAATTAATAAGATCTTTGTGTTCAGCGAGGTTGAAGGAATTAATACTCCTCCCCTTCACTGTGCTCAGGCAGGAGCAAGCCGCCAGCAGTGAGACCCCAGGGGAGCACTGGCTGCTGAAGGCAGATCGCCTGAGGCCGAGATTGCTAACTCTTTCACTAATCACAGCAATCTGAGCCTCAGCCAACCAACCCCCTCTCATCCAGTCTAGAAAAAAGTGGAAGGGTGTGTGTGTGTTGTGTGTGTGTGCGATCTGATAGATGAAAGATGGAACTTTGATCTTGGGAAAACCACTTATCTTTACTAAGATTCCATTTCTTTCTTTTTAATTTCTCTATCCTCTCTGGAGGATATGTTTGTATTGATTTTTAGAGATAGAGGAAGAGAGAGAGAAAGAGAGAGAGAGAGGTGAGAGAGAAACGTCGATTGGCTCTCTCCCTTACATGCCTAGACTGGGAATTGAACCTACAACCTAAGTATGTGCCCTGACCAGGAATTGAACCTGAAACCTTTTGGTGGACAGGATGACGCTCTAATCTACTGACCCACCTGGCCAGAGCAAGATTCAGTGTCTTTATGAAAATGAAATGGTCCATCTACATAAGCTATCAAGTTATTTTTGACTTTAAAATTATGTGATGGTTTGAGACTGTATTTAGAAAGAAAATTCCAAACAGGTGTTTATGTATTAAAGTCTAGAGCACTGCCTTCAAATTTTTTTTACCATATAACCGCTAAAGAATTTTGAAATATTATATAATCCTCACCCATCTTTTTAGTTAACACCTAAAATTCTTTATCCATAAAGCTTAAATACTTCAAAAAGATTTATTTTTTTGGCATGATTTCTTTATATGTCTTAAGTACTATTTTATTGAAACTTAGAGCTACATATTTTATGGAAAATATCTTATTTTATGGAAAATACAGCAGAGGGTTGGCAAAGGCAATCCTCACTGTTAAACCATCAGCTAAATCAGACTAGCTTTCTATCAGGAGTTCTTCATTAATTCAAATAAATGTGTTGAAGCATGTCTCTGTGACAGCTTCTTCTCAATTCTTTTCTAAGAGAGGTAGATAGATGATGATGATGGTGGTGGTGGTGGTGGTGGGCAGGAGTCTCAGATCTCTTCTGCCTGGATCATTCTGGGATTCTGTCTGAAGGAGCAGCAGCTCCCAGGGAAAGCTCTTCCAGTGGCAGTGGTAGTGGAAAAACACTTCCAATCACTGCTCACACTCTTAACATCCCATTGGCCAAAGCAAGTCACATGGGCAAGCCTAACATAATGAAGTGGGAAAGAACACAACTCCGATTCCCCTGTTCAGGTAGGAGTTGAGGAGTCAGGGAAATAGTATATAATTTAGAAAAATCTAATTTACCATAGTAAATTAATATGAATACACATGTAGTACATATAGAAACAAAGGACAACAGTACAACTAAAATACCAAGGAGAAGTATTTCTTCACTGTGAAATTGGTTTCTACCTAGCCCTTCTATGTACCAGATATGATTCTTTGGGGAAACAATTTAATTGGGTGTTTATGTCCACATACACACATGTAATGAGTAAAATTCACATGGCAATATAAAATATCTTGGTTCTGAATATAAAAATGTAGTCACCCAGAACCAATCATACAAATACAGATTATAAAGACCAGCCTGGCTAGTGTGGCTCAGTGGTTGAGCATTGACCTATGAACCAGAGGTCACAGTTCAATTCCCAGTCGGGTCACATGCCTGGGTTTCAAGCTCAATCTGCAGTAGGGGGCATGTAGGAGACAGCCGATCAATGATTCTCTCTCATCATTGATGTTTCTATCTTTCCTTCTCTGTTCCTCTCTCTGAAATCAATAAAAAAATTATAAAGACCAAATCTATTTCATTAAGTATATTAAAATGTAGTCAACATTCACATTTACCTTTGTAAATAATGAACATCAATAGTGTGGATAACCTAAAGCTGTAGATAATCCTAAAAGTCTTTATATTAACGTTAGATCTGATTGTAAGATTTGGTGGTCAGCTAGATTTAGCTCAAGCAAAATTAAAATGACAGTGCTTTGCCTTCCACAGCAGACACCCAGCCAACAAGGACAGGTGGCCCAGAATTAGATTTAGTTGTATATAATTGAAAGTTGATTTAATGATTAAGTGACATGATATTTGCAAACTACTTTGCAGAATTCCTGGCACACAGTAGAAGCTCATGAATTATTTCTCCCTGTATCTTTTCCTTTTCTCCCTTACCAATAGAACAAAAAGCTCATGTGCTTAATCAGTTTCTTAGAAGTGGATCATAGAAATAAGAAAACATTTGGTTTGAACTCAAATTGTTTATTTAATTAAATCTGTATCTCAATGGTTTCGGCGAGTTGTATATACTGACCTAGCTGATTAGAATAAAATGAAATTCCCCTGAGACCAAGAATATGACATTTAATTAAATCAGCAATGCACAGAAACATTTGGTCAGCTGTAGGTTTATGTTTTTCGGCAGATCCAAGTTCTTATTGTACTTTATGTCCCAGCTAGATGTATGCAGCTTTGTGAATTTAGCTGAGTGCTTTACATAATCATGTCCGTTCCTTCCAGGATTCAGAATTTCTAGTAAAATAATTGTAATTAATACTTAATTAAAGCTATCTCCTATTTCTGTTATGGCAAGAAGTATTATTTTTTAAATGCCTTAAATCATGTCTATATATTTCTTGTTGATAGTTTTATACACTATAACCTTTAAGATCTAGTAACAATGTAAAAATGTCATTGATCATGAAAATAACATTAGATAATTAGATATCATTGTAAAAATTTAATACAAGGATCTAAGACCATCAAATTCTATACTTTGCAAACTTTTCTGTCTCCATGAGTAAAACCATTTTTATATCCTAATGATGAAATGTTAATTTGTGGATTTTTTTGTTTTTAATTCACCAATAGTGTACTATATAACAGAATTATTCACCAATTTTTTAAAGCAGTCTTAGAGAATAGTGTAGTGACCACACCTCCACACAATTTATAACCTCATACTGTGTATAATATAATTAGAGATTGCAACTTGGAAATGTAATTTCATTTTGTGAAATGAGAGCAATAAACAGGAAAACATGATATCAAATAAAATTAAGTGGATCTTTATTTTATTAGTCAGTAGTAATATTTTGAATGTACTTAGGATTTCTTTTGCCCTCCAAGTTTCATTTGTGTTGCTGATGTTTTTGTTTAATTGCTTTGCATCATGTCAAAAAATCTATTTGTATCAGCCTAATCTTTTAATAGCAATTTGAGAATATTACTTTTTCTTCCTTTGCTAGCTGCAAAAATAAATACATTACTTGTTTCATTAGTTTTACACAAATCATATTGTTTTTGCTTTTCACAAAGGAAAAATGATTCTATTTATCATATGAAAAGTGTCTCTCTTGTGCTATGGAGTTTTAACAATGTGAATATTACCCTCTACCTAGAAATTGGCTACACAAGAGAAAAAGAAGTGCCTGTGATTTTGATTCCACTTGCATCTGTATGAGTTGTGTGTGCAGATGACTCTTTTATGGTATTTGTATGTTATTCCAGTTATTTTCTCTAACATTTCTTTGAAAACAAATTATTGCTGTTTTAATACTCAAAGCAATAATTATTTGCAACAGGAATCTGCAATATTACATGCCACATGAAATAATAGAGAAATGTTATTATGACTTAAACTTATGCTTGCCTGTCTCTTTTCTACATTCAGCTGTCCAAGGATCGAGTGTTATTTTCCGAACAGTGGAGGTCACATTACATAAAGAAGGCAATACCTTTGGTTTTGTAATACGAGGTAGGTGATGGTTTAATAAACCGTCAGATATTTTTGGAGAATTTGTCAGTGAAATATTGGGAGTGAACTAGAAAGTTATCCTCAAAAACCCTGATCTTTCCAGCACATAAAGTCGCTTTGTAGTATTTGCACCCATTCTTTCTTTCTTTTTTATTGAATTAACTGGAGTCACACTGGTTAAGAAAATTATACTGGTTTCAGTGGCACAGTTTCCATAACACATCATCTATAAGCTGTATTATAAGTTCACCACCCAAGTCAAGACTCCTTCCATCACCAGTTATCCCCCTATGGCTCTCCTCTCCCTCCCCCTCCCGCCAACCCCTCTTGCCCCAGCAACCACCACACTGTTGTCTGTATCCATAAGCTCTTTCTCTTCTTCTTTTCTTCTTTTTTGCTCAATCCCTCCACCTCCTCAACCCCCCACCACCCCCTGACAGCTGTCAGCCTGCTCTCTATCAATGAATCTATCTCTATTTTGCTTGTTAGTTCATTTTCTTTAAAGAAATAAGGCAGCAGTGAGTGGGAATCAAAGTGGAATCCAAATGACCTAGCTTTATTTTCAGCCTGTTAACACAGAGCCAAGAAGTCACGTCTGTAAACCTTATCTGTTCACAGTCATCCTTCTTATTTGCCACTTTTCAATACACCTTTTACCTTCCCTTTATACTCTTCTATATCCCTGAGTCAAAACTGTAGATGAGTGATGGTTGCCAGAGGGGAAGGATAGGGGATGAGCAAAAAAGAAGTGGAATAAGAAGAACAAATTATAAAATAAATAAGTTACAGGAATGTAACGTAAAGCATAGGGAATATAGTCAATAATATTGTAATAACTTTGCATGGTGCCAGATCGTTATTGCACTTAACCATGTGATAAATTTGTTAGGTATATAGATGTTAAATAATTATGTTGTATAGTTAATATACAATATTATATTACTATATAATATTGTACATTAACTATACTCTAATTTAATTTTTTTAAAGATAAAGAACAACAATTTTAAAAAGTCATGTTGTCATAAATCCCTGATTTCATAATCTAAATAAAGATTATTGTTTCCCTTGGGAAAAAGTGTTGATGTGATGAGTATTACTTGATTTGATTTAAAACACTAGGATTAAGCAACTTTTATTCTCTTATTTTAATACATTTTGTTATAGCTTTCTAAAGATGAATTGATAATCTAATTCCTTGGCACCTTTGTACATCAGCTCAGCTCATCTTATTATGGGATGAGATGACATTAATAATAAATATTTTGAGTGATTCCAACTTGTCTATAAAACCCTTAATTCTGAGCTGTAATTTTGGATTTTAACATTCTATTTTTCTCATTAGCAGCTTTATTTCTTAAAGACTGCACAGACATTAACAACTCATAAATCCTAGTGTGAAAGTGAGGGAACTATATAGGCATCAGGAATCTTTAAAGATTTGACATTTCTTGATTTATTTTTATCTATTATATGTTGTATTTCATCAGGATCAAAATTCTACCCAATTTATTAAAACATTAATTAAATGTAACTAAATATCTTAATAAATATACAAACATCAAGGAAAAAATGAGCTGTGTTCAGTCCTATAGACTTACCTTAAATGACTGAGCAATAGATTTAAGCATTAGATTTCATTCTGTGTTAGTCATGTAGCAAATCAATCAATCAAATATTTATTAAAGATTCGTCAACATGTCAGCATAGGGCCAAGTACTCTGGAGTCATAAGACAGGACCCCTATCTACAGTCAATTACAGCTCAGTGAATTTTAGACATAAGTTGATTAAGTGCCCAAGTGAGTGGTAAAGAAAATGGGCAACGAGGAGCTCACTGAGTGGTTTAGACCAGTTGTGATTACATTTTTCTGACCAGGTCCTATTTTTAGATGAAACAAGAAGATCGATTCACCCTCATCTTTTACCTTAACCATTTCCAAATTTCTGTGTAAAAGAACTAGTAGATGAATGTAATGAAAAGTCAGTTTACAAGTAATTTTAGCACGAGGTGGTGTATACAGATCTGTTTCTGCAATATAGGTATGAAAGGAGGCACTTGATCACATGCCTACACGCCTAATTATTGGAAAGCTGTAGTGAAAGTTTTGCTGGTTCAAATATTTATCACTAGTTGCTGTATGGTTAATCAATAACCAATCAAATTGCTAATGAAAAAGCTAAACCAACAGTAATTTAGCATCAAGAACTAAAAAAAAAAAGTAATTGAAATCCACAGCCACCTCAAGACAACTGATGATATAATGTTAACAAAATCTCCTTCACACAGTTTGCAGGAATTTTGAACATCTGTCTGCGTGTGCATGCCTCGTAAGAGTTTTTTTGTATGCGGCTGGAATACTACCTGGTACATTGTAGGCACTTAATAAATGAAGGAATAAATATTGAACGTTGCCTAGATTTATGTGGACATCAGATTTCTTAGTATTATACTAATTTTTAAAATTTATTTATTGTTGACAGTGTTACAGATGTCTCC